GCTGGGAACATAACTGTCAGCCATGTTTGTTTACATTCTGGTACTTAATGGTGGCACCACAAACTAAGTGCGCCTCGTGTGGGCTGTTTTAGTTCCAATTAAAGATGCCAGAAATGTGAGATAATTACACAAATATGTTGAACATTGGAATCAATTATAGTCACACGAAGATCTTTTTCAATTAAAACATTTCAATTTTGGTGCAAAAATGTTACATAATGCCACCTTACCATACAATTATACACCTGTCAAGAACACGTTACAATATATATATTAATCATATATCAATCAAAAATACATTATAGTAGACCATTCTAAATTACAAAGACGTCGAGATTTCATCCTGGGTAAAATTGCTATATAGAAACTCGTTACATCTTTCTGTTGCTACATGTAAGTTGCTTCAACATAGAAGAACTATCACTATACATAAAGCGAAACGTATTACTAAGTAGATATTTATAAACCGATATTCCGAAACCACATTGCTAGAACTTACTTGCGCCAAAGCGCCATGAATATGTTATACCACTTTTGATCTTTTTTTTTTTTGGTACTACCAATCCGGCAATCGCAGTTCCATTTTTCTTTTCAAGTCTACAGACTGCTTACAGAGTATTCCAAGCGCTCGGCTCACATCTTCTGACACCCCACGATGGACACAGTCATGGTCTCGGCTAGACCAACGTCTTGTGGATCTGGAAGTGAATAATAATTATCATATCATTATCATATAGCCAGAAGGCATTGACCAATAAGAAGGCTCTATTTACCATTGTTTATCAGGCTAAAGTGGCGAAGTGATATCAATTTTGCACACAGTATTTTCTCTCCATTTTTATTAATGTATACAATGTACTAGTATATGGATTAACATATGGCGATTGCCATTTGACATTGATTCACGGAGCAAGAATTCTCATGTATACCTCCTGTTACTTACATTTGAATCTTTTCTTTTCATATTGTACTCATACAAAACATTGCTGTGTACTAGGACAATGTATGTTTTGTACAAGACTATTCTTTGTTTCTATGGTATGCTACCTAGCTCGCTGTCACTTGCTGTAACTGTTTATGGGAAGAAATATCCTGTCGCTAGTCTAATGCGAGTGACGTGTGCAAACATATCTTGATCAAGACAAAACTCTAACGGCAAACATCAAAGGAGGGCGATTAGGTACAACATGTATGTGAACAGACCTTCACACAATGTTCAAACATGGACATGTAAAATGTGTTCTTGAAGTGTATTTTCACCATGTTCATACAAGTGTACTTGCGGAAAAAAAGTGTGGAATATTAACATAACAATATTTCTGGGATTTCCCAACATTTAAACTTGTGCCGTGATGATTTACTTGATAATTAAGTTAGGTGATGTCACTGATCTACATTTCCCACCATAATGAATACCTGTAGTGCTTTAATTTGACTTTTCTTGAGATGGATTTCGATAAACTTTCCAACGAATGTGAGGAAATTGGTGAGTTTGTGGGCTTTCAATTCAGAAAGATCCTGGAAATCCCTCCCCCAAGAAAGCTACATTCATTATGGTTGGTAAATGTAGATCAATGATATCACCGAATTTCATTAGCATCTAAGTAGCTGTCATCATGGAGCAAGTTTAAATGTTGGAAATCCCAGAACTATGACGGACTCATGTGAAACAAGCGAGAACTTGACTTCGGTATCTATTTAGCATAGTATACGAGGCTTTTCAATTTTTTGTGTTGCTTTCCTTTACTTTCAAAACCATTACTAAATCCCCCCCACACAATGGGGGAAGATATTTACAGAAGACAACATTTGCTAATATTTATACACTCAACTATGTGGGTATGTGTATACAATAAATAAAGGTCCTTATTTACTAACATGCCATCTGTTTAAACACTACTCCTTTTTTTTTATTTGCATTATCATAAAACAGCTGCTTAAAGAAAGTGACCTGATTTGTGTTAATAGTTTTGTAACGTTTTCTTGTGCCTGGAGGGGACACCACTTTTGGGGGGGTTCAGTCTCCGTACTGCTTTGTGCTGCTCCAGTATCCTCGTGGTGTGTTCTCAGTCCCTTCTTCATCATCACATCCACTAGTACTGCCAGGTGGGAATGTTTCTGCTGTTCATACATGATAAAAGTAAAGTCAAATGCACACAATAGGAGCAAAATAACAATAGCTTATATATGTCTTGCATTCCAGTCAAGTCATCATTTGTAATGGACCGTTCCAGTCAAACACCATCCCGCGCTGATTTTGACCGAGGTGTTTGCAATAGAACAGGGGGGTTCGCCGTGTTCGATCCGGAAAGGTCCATTGGTCACAACAATAACGTTTAACACAATTTTGGATACCTCTGAAATAGTTGCAAAATTGCTAACAATTGAAACATTTACCATTTGGGAAAAAGTAATGAAAGGCATCGACTCCATCCAACTGGCCACATGCTGTTGAACAAAGTGAACAGACAAGATTTAATTGTTACATTCAGTGTATGTCGTGAAATTATAATTGTTTCCTGTCAACAAACAAACAACTTATATAGATAATAGGCTGACTGGTGCAGGAGACAGACAGGAGACAGGTCTGGAGACAGCTGTCCATCCGCCTTTCTACCTTTTCCCCCCAGGGCTCGAAATTCCTTTCTGGGAATAAGTACAATGGTGCACCTACAATGTAAGCTAAAAAATTAGGTGCACAGAATATTTTGTGGCTGCAACAAACATATATAAAACAAAACTTAATTGCAGATCTTACTTCTGAGATTGAATCTGAAATGGGAGCTAACTTCAAAATCCTGAACAATTACTACAACAAAGCTTTCACTGTTTTTGTGACACTTACATGTAGATGCCAAGAATACCCTGTATACATTTGATATATACAAAAATACCTACATAACTATTTGACGAGTAAGCCAGTAAAGGCAGTAAACCCACAGGAAAAAATTGGGTGCCAGTATTTCAAGCCCTGTCCCCCAACGACAAGGGATGAGGTGGTTATAGGTATAGTAGAATTGATACACTTATATTTCATCGAACAGTTTCATCAACTACTTACAGTGTCATTACCTGTATCGGTATGGTCGGTATAACCGTCCTTTGGTGAAACACACTACTAACATAGAACACTAACAGAGAATAAATGCATTACCTGCAGCTTCTTATCAACAAGGTTGCTTAATCATTATGAAGTAGCTACAAACCGTATGTCTCAATGGTATGTCTCACCTTTCTTGTTCAAGAAATCTTCTGCCCGGGTCCCTCAGGAAGTCTGTTTTACAGGTTCCTCTCAAAGCGTCTTCCTTAACATGGGAATTTCAACATGCAAGTTAAATTAATGCAATTATCTCAATCAGAACATGTAAGATCAACAGAGCATACATTAATTACAGCCTGGAGGTTTTATGTTTTCTATATAACAAACACAAAACACACACTAGGAAATGGAGAAAGTAAGACATCAGCAGAGCATACAATTCTTGAGCCTTCAGGTTTTACCTGTGTTACTAGTATCAAAATTCGTGATGTGTGACATAGAAATATAAA